TAGTTGGTGCAGGGTTCTTATAGCTAAGTATGGTGCGCAATTGACACCAGAGGTAACTCTTTTTAATTTGAAGTCTTCGACCGATCTTTGAGGGGTTCTACGGAATACGATTCTTTGGAAATCTTGTTCCTCTGGGTGTACGTAAATCTGGCGGTACATTTTCTCAATGTCACCATTGAAAACGTATTTGTACAGTCGCCATTTGAGGATAACGAGCATTAAANTGCCAGAATGAGACAGTTTGGAAGCGTTGAAAACTACTCGCACTTTCGTAGTTTTACTATCTGGCTTTAGAACTGCGTGGTGGGGTAAGTAAAAGGAAAAATACTTCCCATCACGTATAATCTCTTGCGACGCTGTGGGTTCCATGTGATCTAGGGTCAGATACTCTTCCAAGAATTTGGTGTACGTTCGCTGCAGTTCAGGTTTTCTTTCGATGCTCCGCTCGATACTGAGGTACTGTTGTTGAGCTGCAGGTCTTGAGTGTCCAAGTGCAATCGTGTCTGGGAAGATAGTTTTGAAGGGGAGTTTTACTACATAACGACCGTCATCTCTGCGAACTGTGGACCTTTCGTAGGGGTTTTCGCAAAATACGTCGTCGTCGGTGAGAGTCGGGGTTGATGGTACTTCCTCCTGTTCCCAGAACTTCTTGAGTAGATCGTTCAGAGTGTCTGTCGAGTTCTCAATTACCTGGGTCGTGAATGATGAGACGTGCTCTGTTACTGGGCCACTCAAAATCCACCCAAATATTGAATTTTGCGCTATTAAACTTCCACCGACATTGGTTTTTAGGCCTGGAAGTAGCACTTGGGGGATGACATCACTTCCTAATACTATGTCTATTCGAGCTGGAGTAAAGCAGTTAGGGTCCGCTAGAGGGAGAGATGAATTCTTGCAGTTCAATGTATGTAACTTTGAACGATGGCAAGAAATGAGTGAGTTGCGGGAGGATTATCGCGTTTGTGGTTATGTTCATGGTTGTATCGGCTGAACAAATGGTAATAGCGCAGATTTTGTTCGCTTTTTGCATCACGCGGCCACCCATTCCCATAATTTCATAATTAGTGGCCTTTGTCGGGAGGTCAAGCAGTTTTTGTATGCGGGATGCAATGAACGTTTTCTGAGACCCTTGATCTATAAGAGCTCGAATTTTGAATATTTCTCCATTATGTAGGATTGAGACTTTGGTAGGAAGTAGAGTTTTTTCTCTACTACTCGCGAAGTGTGAGAGGGTTTGGTTCTGTTGAGAAGACGAGGGAGTTTGGTTTTGTTGAACGTCTTTAGAGGTTGACGCTCTGTTCGGGTCGCTATTCGCTGGGGGTGGAAGTCGCGCCTGATTCGTTTTTGGCCTTGTGCCTGTATTTGCTGTTTGTGATTTAGCGGGGTAATGGAGAAGAGAGTGATGCCGTTTTTGGCAGTAAACACAGGTAAAATTGCTATGGTACTCAGTTCCTGAATGGGAGAAGGCTAAACAGTTCCTACAGTAGTGATTATCTTTTATGAATTTGTTGCGATCCTGCACTGAGAGCTCCTTCAATTTGACGCAGTTCATCATAGAGTGGTTGGAGTTGCATAATTTGCAAGATGCCTGCTTTTTTATCTCAGCGTTAAATGGGTGGGTTCTGCTTTTATAGCTGAAAGAATTATTCTTATTAGGGGTTGATGAGCTAGGAGGGTAATTTTGGTTAAAGCGTTTGGGCTTATTTGGCCTATACGTACTAAGTCGTTCTANGTTTGGGCTTATTTGGCCTATACGTACTAAGTCGTTCTACAACTTTTAATTAATTAATCCCAACGGCTTTTT